CCCAGAGAGGTTGTGAAGTATCAGCTCATTGAGACCTCTGTTCAAAACTCAGTTTCACAAGACCCTGAGCAACCAGCTCCATGTTGGCTGTACTTTGTGCAAGGGATTGGATGGGATGACCTCCAGAGGTCACCTCCAGTCTTAGTTATTTTGTGATTCTGTGCCAGAAGTTCTCTTCTTTTAATGCCCTTGGTAATACGATACCGATCGTTTCTACAGGTTTATACTGGTCATTGTGTTTGGTTTTGGACTCATGGGTAGGTTATCTTGTATAACGCTGAACTGCCTCCGCAAAGTGTTGTAGCTAACATAACTGGGGCAATTCTTCTCCATTTTAAAGTCTGGAATACTAGTCCTGGTTAGCTTATTTCCTGGGCAAGATAGGTCTTTATCTTCCCATCTCTCTCTGGGATAGTTCATTGGCTTAATTGCTTTGAGAGCAATTCGTTCTGCCTCCCAGCATTCCTTATACCCAAACGCTAATTTGATCAGAATGTAAAGAAACAAATTGCTTTGCTTTGCATTGGAAGGCTTATACTGTCTGTCTGAGTTGCTACACAGTTCTCTTCTGCTTTAGGCCTGCTGATACGAAATTAGGCAAGTAAGTGTCTTTTTATCTCCTGAATGTTCCCTTTGCTGTCTGTTCTGGCCTTTGTTATTGTTTCTGGATTGTTTTAGCTGCAAGAAGATGATGTTGGCTATGGGTGCAACTTGCATGCTCATGAAGTTGCGTTCTTTTAAGTTGTATGCTAATAAATAAGTAATTTGCCAGCTGCAAGCTGTGCTGAACTCATTTAGTCCTGTTAGAGAATTTCTTCTAACTTTTCACTCTTAAGAATGACCAAAAGGTTTTGATACTCAAGTTTGAGTGATTGCTGTTTTATTTTGTCCTATTCAGGTTGCTATTAAACAGATAAACCTGCAGAAACAGCCCAAGAAGGAGTTGATTATTAATGAGATCTTGGTAATGAAGGAACTAAAGAACCCCAACATAGTCAACTTCCTGGACAGGTAAATGCAGACAGCCAGCTGGCTGATTCCTTCATCCCCAAGGGTTTTAAGAGGTTTTAACTTGATAGACTTCCACAGACTTGGACTGTCTGTACCGAAGGGTCTTATAAACAAATGAGATTGTATTTAGAGTGTTATTTTAAAAAAAAAAACAGCAAAAACACAACAACAACAAACCATCATCTGTTATAGGGAATGATCTTGATAAATCAGTAAGAAGCCTTCTTTCATCATGAATGCACTGCTGCATGTAGCTGGGCATCAGTGGTGGACAAGAGCACAGTTGGAGAAATGCTTGTGTTGAGCAGGAGATATGTAGCGTGTTATCCTCCCCATGTAGCTTTTATTGTCAGCATTTACGTTTCAGGCCACCTTCCAGAGATTAACTTTCTTTGCTGTATGTCTTGAAGTGCATTTCGTTGACCAGCTCTTACCAGTCATTTTTCAGTTCTCCATCTCTTGATGGCAAACGGGCATGCTTTTCATTTTCTGTTTGTAGTTACCTCGTAGGAGATGAATTGTTTGTCGTGATGGAGTATCTAGCTGGAGGGTCACTAACAGATGTGGTCACGGAAACATGTATGGATGAAGCGCAGATTGCTGCTGTTTGCAGAGAGGTGAGTCTTATAGTTGATGGGTAGAGGAATGAAGATGCATTCTATTCCCCTAAGTTTTATCGTACACTTAGGACCAATTGCAACAATTGCTGTTGGAGCCATTGAGTTAGGAAGAATGAATGATAGGAGAGCAGAAATCAGTATTAAAATTACAGAAAAGAACAAAATGAGTTTAACTGAGAAAACTGGGGGTTTGCAAGTTGTAACGCAAGAGCTATGGCAGTTTTGAGCTGTGTGTTTGGGAATGTTAGGTGATGGAGCAAATAAAGATTCCGTTTGTGTTACCTGAGTTACCTAGTGCTGGTGACAGTGCTAACAGAAAGGTGCGGACAGTGTGGACTGAAGTTCAAGGAAGAGCAATGAAGAAGTTTAGCAGCTGGAAAAAATGCTTTTTTTGACATTTGACTAATGAAGAATATTCCAAGGCACCAAAAAGAAAACTGAGTATATATAGGTAATGCAGAAAGTAGAGATGTGAACATATTTGAAAGAAAAAAAAATAAAGCCTGAAAGCTTCGTAGTATTTTCCAGAAGGAAGAAAGGGAACTGTGTTTGCTTTGAGTGTGAAAATGGATCTGATGAAACAGAAAAACTTTAAGAAACATGTACTAAAATGAAGATGAACTTGATGCAGACTATCTCTTTCTCATTTCAGTTGTTTTAATAATATGAATGATCTGTAGTTCTGTGACATTTAAGCTTTCTTCATGCATTTCTCAGAAAAATAATTTTCCAGAACATTGTAGTTGGAATAATTTTAAAATTGCAGTAAGATTTCAAATGGAATAGCTGATGTCACAACTTATCAGTGGTTTCTGCCCTGAGTCAGAGTGCTGGCATCCAGCCTGGGCATGATTTATTATGGCAGAAGAAGTAATTCTATTATCTGCTGTGCAGGAGAAACTTAGGCTTTTAAAAACCCCATTTGACTACATCAACATGACATCTGCTTTTGATGACTCACCCAGAGGGGAGGGGATGGAAAGCAAACTTGCACATCAACGTGTATGGACAGGTAATGGTTTCTGGAGAAACCAGAGCTGGAAACAGAGAACAGAAAGTAACTATTTACTGTAACAGTAATTAACTTTTCTGAGGAAAAAGTCTAATATGGAACTATTGTACTTCATCAAAACTCTGCTGCCCAGTACGTTAGATACACTTCATTCTGCAAATCAGTGCCACTTTGCTAGGGGAAATAAAGACGAAAAACTCACTGGGGACTACATCCATGCCAAGCTGCAAATGGTAAATGTCCTGCTTGTGTTAAGGGAAAAATATTACAATTTTTCTTGGCCTTTTATTCTCAAATGGCGACATGAAATTTCATTATGTTTTTAGGCAGAAACTTAGTGTGGAAGGTTTTAACCTAAAAAAGTGCAAAACCAGTGTTAGTGACTTTAATGACGAAGATGTGTTACAGCCTTCACTGTAGGAGAAGTTGCATGCATGCGGAGAATGAAGTCTCACCAATTACTCTTGGTGAGACCTCAGGCTAAAAAGCTCTCACTTAATCCTTTGTGGTTCCTCTGTAGAATCTGTGGGATGTAGCAAAATTAACATCTGGGATCTCTGAGAGCATCTGGGGTGACAACTGAGCAATGAGAACTTTAATTCATGGATTTGTTGAGACAGCAGAGAAACTGCACGGTTAAATGATTTTTGACCTCATGAGATCTGGAGAGCATTTTTTAGCACAAGAGCTTCCTCTGCTGGTTATTTTAAATAATACCTATTGTATTTTTTGCAGTCACCCTTGGCTGAGGGTGTAAGCATTGCTTTTGAATTCATGTTCACACACAAATTGTGTCTCCATATGCTGAATATTTTTTTTCCTCCCATCCAGTGCTTGCAAGCGCTTGAGTTCTTACATGCCAACCAGGTCATCCACAGAGACATTAAGAGTGACAACGTGCTGTTAGGAATGGATGGATCAGTTAAACTAAGTGAGTACAAGACATTTGTTTCCATGTTCTGGTTTCTCTTTCCCAGTAAACTTTGACTCGGAGAGTGTGTATTTGTAGAATGAGAGTTGGCAGGGGAATTTGAGGTTAATTTTTATTGGATAAGAGTAGTAGAATTTCATTCCATGTTATAAAATGTAGAACTCGCAGGTAGCAGGTATTGAAGCTCTGAGGGCCCCGAGACTAAGGCTGTGAACTTGTTAGACAGGAAGGATGTTAGACAGGAAGGATGTTGAAGCAAACCTGTTGCCACATGAATACGTTGGTAAATATGAAGTAACTGGCACCATACAGTGAAGCAAAGATACGAATGATTGCAAGAGAGAAGTTGCAGCTAACTGCAGTTGCTTTGTTAGTCTCTTCAGTTTATGACTTGCTTTTAATGTTTCGCCCTTTTCATCAGAAGTTCACTCACAAGAAAATTGTACAGTATTTACCATTTATATTGCAGTCTAGTCTTATGCTGCGCCTGTGCTGGGTCTCCTTTTCTTGGACTGAAAGTGTAACACACTTTCATTATTATAATCATGAAATGACAAAAGAAACTTGCTTTTCAGGTAATTGTTATACATGCATGGACTTGTGTACAGTAAGTCAATTTCTGGTGTGTGTAAATGTGTGTGGCAATAAAGAAGTGTGAAACCATGTGAAGAAGCTGTTGAGAGAGAGGTGCATTATCTGACTTCTTGGTATGTAGGAATGTGCAAAGCATAAAGCGACCAAAGAGTTAAGGGATGGCAGTTTTGCTGTTTAGTAGGAATTTGAAATGTCATAAAAATGTGTCTTAGCCATATCCCTTACTCTAGATGGTTTGCAGTCTCGTGTTGATTATGAACTGGAGTGTGAAGAAAGATTGCAAGCAACCTGCTTTTTCTTACCAGCATTGTTGGATGCACTGCTTGCTTGTGTAGGAGGTTTTGGTTTGTTGTTTTTTTTTCCAAGGGTGTGATGTGTTTGTGCACAGCCTGTTTGGGTTCAGAAGCTGAAGATTAGTGACTAGTTACAGCAGAGGATGTGACTGAGAAGAGTTAGCTGGAGAAGGCTCAAAAATACAAGAGCTGTCAAAGCAAAGCAGAGTGGCGAAAGAGCAGGGTTAGCGTCCTGTGTAAAGTAGCATTGGCCCCAGAAGGTTGGGAGAAGGAGAGACAGGAGAAAACAGGAGTCGGCGGTAAAAATGTGCTATATGAAGGGGAGATATTTTCATCAGTGTTGAGACTAGCCCTTCTTTAGCTGTGTGATTATGGAGCTTCTAGCAGCTGTTTAGAGTGGAGAGTGGAAGAAGCTGCACCTTCTTTTCAAGCTCTTCCCTTTCTCTGGGGGAGTCTGGCTTCTGGGAGACGGGTGACAGGAGGAGTAAGAGATACCTACACACGCTACTGGTTGGTGAAACTGGGTTCTACGTCTTGCCTGTCTTTTCTCTCCTTGCTGGTGGCCTAGTGCTGAAGGCTGCATTGATAGGTCAGGAGACATACACTGCTTCTGCTTTTCTGGTGTGTTCATTGAAATAAGCTATGCTTTGACTTGATTGTGACACCTTGATAAAGGCCAAGAAGTGCTGGCAAGAAACTCAGTGGCAGCTGTAGGTTTGGTTTTGTTTTTTTTTTAAATTTCTTCTTTTGTCCCCCAAGGCAGCATCTTGACAATTGGTGTGGGGGCAGTTCTTTGTTAAATTGTCCTCTTGGTACAAGTTAGCACTGTTACGACTGTGGCTCTCTTGTCAGCACTGCGTGGCTAACACTTTAAAAATTGACTCGAAATTTTAAATTCTCTCTCTTTCTCTCTCTCTCTTTCTCTCTCAAACTTAGTGTCAATGATAAGGTAAAAATCTGTCTCCTGCCTTAACTGTGTTCTTATTGATGCTTTACATGCCTGGGAAGTGGGAGTGCTGCAGCTGGATAAAGTAACATGATGGAACATGCATTGCTGCTGCACCTGAAGGCTATAGGAATAGGTGACTTTTCTCGTTTTCTTGAGTGTGGTTGTTCTCTTTGGTAGTTACCTTGTGGAAAGGTTTGTTTGTCCAGGTTCCTTCTGCTGAGTGGAGCAGCACTTCAGTTATCTGAAGCCTTGTTTCCATGTCTGTCAACTATAGTACCTGTATTTCATGGCCAAACGGCTGTGAAATGTTGAACTCAATAGCTGCACAAATTAAATCTGTTTAGCAGGGCAGATTTTGTGGTTTGTAGATTCGTGTTTTCTAGATTGGGCTGTATAACATACCATGCAGAGAACACTTGCCTTCTGTGTTCTGCTTGGTTACTTTTTTTGACTGTTACCAGTCTAGGAAGCTTGAAGACTGGGCAAAATACCATTCTTCTACAGGGTGATACTTGTGTCGCTTTTCAAGAGGACAAAAAGCCTGATCTTCATTCCATGGAAGTCTGCCCTGCTTAAACACCTTCAGGTTTTGTATCTATCTTGTACGTTGTATTTTGTAGTTTGGTGAATATAGTGGGGGGGAAGAAAAAAGGAGACACTCCCCAAGCCCCTCAAGTGCAGATGAGTAGAATGTATGTGTAGTAATAGAGAAGTCTTCTAGGAAGCCCGTTTACTTGGGATGCACCAATTTAACTTTTTAAAATTCTGTTATCCTACAGCCGACTTTGGTTTCTGTGCTCAGATCACCCCAGAGCAGAGCAAGCGCAGCACTATGGTTGGAACTCCTTACTGGATGGCTCCCGAAGTGGTCACACGGAAAGCATACGGCCCTAAAGTGGATATCTGGTCTCTGGGCATCATGGCTATTGAGATGGTGGAAGGAGAACCCCCGTACCTCAATGAAAACCCCCTGAGGGTAAGAAGCCCAGGTGGCTAGAACTGTTTGCGGGTGTTTACCATATGAACGTTTTTCAGTAATTGTTCATTAATAGTATTTACATTAAAAAAAAAAAAAAAAAAGCAACAAGCTTCAGCAGTGCAAGAAAATTCCTTCAAAAGGAAGACAGCTGTCTTGAATTTGCAGTCAGCCCTACCCTGAATTTTTCTGTTTAGAAGATGAGTACCTGCTTTTAACTAAAACACTGAACTTCGAACTCGGTCTTCTGTGCTAGTTTAGGGAAAGTAAATCCATTAGATTATGAAAAATGCTGCTTGTGTCAGAATCTGCTGTTTCGTTGCCAAGGTAAGTATCTGTTGCCAAAAGATTTTGAATGTTATTTTGCTGCTAGCAAGAATAGGTCACGACTGCGTAGAATCGTGGTGTTCTTAGTTTTTCATCTCATCAGGGAGAGAAGTAGGCTGCAGAGCCCTTTCTCATCTAGATGGGGATTGCCGCTGGGCAGGTCAGTTTGGCATCTTGTCAAGCTTTGGCTTGGCTATACAATATTCCTCATTTTACAGGCTTTATATTTGATAGCAACTAATGGCACACCAGAGCTGCAGAACCCCGAGAAACTGTCCCCAATATTCCGGGATTTCTTGAACCGATGTTTGGAGATGGATGTAGAGAAAAGAGGATCAGCCAAAGAACTGCTACAGGTGAGACTCAGCTGCTGCTCACAGTCTTGAGATACCAAAGCCATGAGTAAGATCAGCCTGTGATAAACTGCACTGTAGACTGGCACTCGCTTTTTTGTGTTTTCTTCTGAGGACTAGTGGAGAGCAGGTGGTCGGAACTACAGTATCAAAGGTTGTAATACATAGTCTGAAGTCTTTCCATCAGTAATCTGTGCCTTCATTCTGCCACTGCTAAAACATCCAATAATTTACAAACTTACTGTAACAAAGCTATTGAAATGAGCAGAATGGGACTGAGAGGAGATGTTTGAGCAGCAAACCACTTTGTACTGAATTATTGGAAAAGGAAGGGCCTAGGCTCTTTTGGGGTGAGGAGGAACAATTATCAGGCTTGAGGTGCCTGGATCTGTCCCTTCTGGAGCTGGGCATTGATAGTATTTGCATTGCTTTTCATACCTCAGGATGAAAAGGGCTGTGTAGATGTAAGGCTTTTACTGGCTTTTTAAACTGTCTTTCACTAATTTACTGTGTTTCTCTCTTCCTGGCAGCATCCCTTCTTGAAACTGGCCAAACCTCTGTCTAGCTTGACGCCACTGATCTTGGCAGCCAAAGAAGCAATGAAGAGTAACCGCTAACATTACTGCCACAGCCTTCATACTTTTTTAGTTTGTTTGTATTTTACAAATCTTTATAATATATGAAATTGTTACACTTCCGGGGGGAGGGAAGGGATTTTGTTAGGGGAAAAACGTCTGCAAAAGGGAAAAAACTCTCATCCAGAAGACACCCAAAATAAATTGTGGTGACTCTAGTGATCCCTGTCTGGGGTCCAGAAGGAATTGAGGACTGAATTACTGGCCTTTTTTTCGTTCGTTTGTTTTTCAGACAGCCCAGAAATGCCACTTACTGTGCCCGGGGTTTTAAGGGTTTTTAACGACTTTCGCTGTAACAGCTTCTATTCATTGTGCCCTTCTGGGTACTTGCAATACTTGAATGACAGATTCAAGCTTTCAGAGAGCAGTACTAATTTTACCTGCTGATCTCTTTCACTCTCCTCTTCCTCCCCTCTACCCGTTTACTTTTAAATCGCTCTAGTAAGCTCTCGTATGACTAGATCCACGGCAAGTGTGGCAAATGTGAAGGTACATCTTGCCTCTCATTTCTTTTATGGATTAGCTGTTACTGTACTGTAGAATTGACAACTTGGCTACTTAAGAAGTTGTAATGTATTGAGATGTGGTTTGCTTTTTAAGATGAATATGGAGAGAGGGGGAAGAGAAGTATTCAGCTGTTTCTCATATGCCTGTGCTCTTTGGACTTTTAATCAAAGATGTGGCCTCTTTGTAGAAACTTAATGATTGTGGTCAAGTCTTTGGATGTCAGTTTATGGATATGTAGGTAGGGGTCAGATACTTTATTTATGATCAAATGATCAGCTGTAGTCAGGGCAAGAAAAAAATGCCAGCTGTCTTCCTGTCTGCTCTTTTTTTCCCATTAGCCTTACTGGCCAGAAGCATAAGGGATAACGTGCTTGGTGTGGTGGATGGTTCAAAAACATGTATTGTATCTGTGCTCTGACTTGGGCTTTGGAAGTTTTGCTGGTGCCTTTGACTTTTTTATTTTACATTTCCTTTCTTTGTATCAAATACATTTTTGTATATGTTGTAATTTTTTTTCCCCAAGCAAATAATGCATCAACCTATGGAGTTGTCAGAGTTTAAGTATTAGAGCTATTTTGTCCAATTTTGTACGTGCTCCATTTGTACTAATGAAATCAGAAGAACAAATAATCAGATCTGAGGACACTGAAGATACAGGATTTTTATAATAGGACTCAAACAGAAGATTATGAACACCTGGAAATGCCAAAGCGCTGTTCTGAGAAGACAAAATCTGAGAGGGAAGAACAGTGCCATCAGACATCTATGGGGCCCGTTTGACCGGCTGGTTCGGGGCTGAGGAGACGTGATGTGTCACACCGATCCTTTCTCACTAAAGACGTTGTACCAGCTAGAATGGCTGAAGTCAAACATTCAATGCAAGAAAAGTGCCTCCCTCTGAAGGACAGAGCAACTTGAGCGGTTGAATTCTTGGGGTATTACCAGGGGCAAGCGTAGAAGAGCCTGTGCCCCGGCTTCTTCTAGCTCTACAGTCTATGCATTTCAACTTCCCCAACAGTTTAACGAAGAGTGAACTGTAGTTACAATGTGCCAAACGATTCTGTGAAACAATAACCATGACTTTAGTGGGATTTTATTGCATTCCCAGTGGGGCAGGACCTGGGACGGATAGGCTTATGGCTGGGTATGGACAGAGGACCCTGAATAAAGATTTTTTGCACACTTTTACAAACATTGTTGGCAGAAGGTAGAAGTAATTTTCAGATAATTTCGGTATTTGTATAGCGATAGAGATAAGTATATTTTGGGGACTGATCGCCAAGGTATGACAAAACCAACTTCCATCTGCGAGTGGCCGGCCAGAACAGCGGAGGCTGTTTGTGTTGATGATGGAGGGAGGTGGGGCCAGGGTCTTGTAGCATCTGCTGTGACTCACCAGCATCTAGAGAATGGTGCAGTACCAACAAGAGATGCCTTGTGCAGGGCGCTGCAGTACTGTGGTTCAGCTTGCATTCTGCTGTTGTGTGGTAGTCAAAATTTACATTGGATAAATTATGTTAACTCCTCCATCAAAGGAATAAATCCCTCTAGCTCTAAGTGTAAGAATAGTTATGGTTTTAAATTCAAGGAAGTGTCTCATTCCAGGCAAGTAAATCTAGATGCATTTCCCAGGCAAAATGTGTTGCGAGCCATGGACACTGGAAGCACTGTAATGGCGATGCCCCCAGTTTGAGTGCATCTGGCTCCCTGATCAAACGAAGTAGTGAGGAGGCTTGGCTGGAAAAAAAAAAACCTGTCGTACCGATGATTCCCTCTTTGTCCATTGCTGGCAATGGACTTTGTGAAACTCCTTGTGCCAGAGTTAAACTGGGAGCTTTTCTTTCTTTCTGCTTTCTTTTTTTTTTCTTTTTTTTTTGATGGCACAATCTAGACATTAAGATAACTTGCGATAGATTTAGTTTTTTTAAAATAGAAAACCAAGAAATCATAAGTAATTTTAACTTATTATTTCACTTTTATTGATGAATGAGAATGGTTTAAAACATGTATTACAAAAATTGTCCAGTTTAGTCTACTTGAGAGACGATTTCCAAACTTTCAGCCATCCTAGCACACAAACTTTGGCCCAATCCAGAAGTTACCAAAACACATCTCGGTGCTTGCTGTGTGACCTGGGAAGGTGTTTAGCTCTGCAGTCGGAAAGTGTCCGCATCTCCCCTTCCCCAGGCAGCAGTTTCGTTGTTAGGAGGTGAGGCTTCTCACCCCCTGCTTCCAGGAATCTGGGCCAGAGATGGAGCTGGCAGAAGAGGAGAGCCAGAAGGTTGCTGTACTGTCCTTTTGTGTTTTAGTGGGTCAGGCATCGCTTTTCTAATGATGCCAGCTGGATGTGTCTGCAAGATTGAAAAATGCAAGCTGTGGGTTTTTTCCCCCTGAAGGGAGCAGATTAGCATCCCTAAGACTTGCTGCAGGGCTGTTCAGCTCTGCTGTACCGCTGTGGCAGACGGAGACCAGCCAGAGGTCGAGTAGATGGATGATGAGGGAAGGATTGCATCTGAAAGTGCTGGAATTCCTGTACGTCTCACTCTTTTGGGTGCCAGCATGAGATCCTGAGTCAGGGTCAAGTATGTGCATGATGCATACGAAGTGTAACGTACAGTGGTGTAGTTAGTTGGATGTATGGAGCTGGGCAGCTTAAGGCTGAGATGCAAGTGTGCAGGGAATGTATGACTCCTGAGATTTTCTTGTTATCGTAGAATAAACCAGACTTTTCCTTCCATGGCACTGGGAACGTGCACTTTGATCTGCCTTAGGTGTTAATGAGACGAATTGTAGGCTTCCCCCTGGCTCTCCAGTGCAGGGAGGTGTAAAAGGTGTGGCTAGAGCAGATGGGAGAGGCTGGGTCCCTTTCTCAGAGGGGATGGTGGGTGGGTTGGGGAGGGAGCAAGGAGGCTGTAAGGGTCTCTCCAGCTGGAGCTGAATAGATAAATGTCTCTGGTCTGTTTTTCCCTGTGTTCCTCACGCTGTCAATGGAAATGGAAGTAGGTGCAAGCTTTCTTTTTATTTTTTTAACTATCTTCAGATTTTAATGTTGCCTTTTGTGTAATTTAATCCCATTATGTTATTTAATTGTTACTGCAATATTAACTACTGTATTTGTTGACTTTGTTTAATAACTGTTCTTTCAGGGCTAGAAATAAACTTTTAAAAAACATTTGGTTTTTCCCCCTTCCCCGTCATGAGTTTATACTTTCTAAGACAAGAGTAGCTGGAAAGAGTACATGTTTAGATGTCTTAATGAGATTAACAGAATGTATTTGTTTGTGATTAAGCTTCATCAGTGTCGGTACCAACCTCGTGATAACCGCAGGCTGTCGTTGCCACCACGCGCTGCTGGCAGATGGTTATGCCTCCCGCAGACTGCTCCAGGTCACGGACAGGAGGAGAACAGCTCTGAAACGCCCTTTTCACCCACCGTGGAAGAGAGATCCCTTGCTCTTCTTGCGAAGGGAGCGAAGCAGAGACCAGCCTAGTTTGTCACAGTTGTGTCTTCCGCCATTCGTTTGCTGTAAGGTAGCCTTTTGGTAGTGTCTGGGTTGGGACTGATGGGCCACTAAACTGCAATCGTGGCGATATCAATGATGTTGCAGTGACTATTCTGAACAAGACTGCTTTGTTTTGCACCGTGGATATCATCCAGTATCCTGCGTATAAACATTATGGCACAGGAGACGCGGGGAACGAGCTGTCCCGGTGCCTGCTTGGAAGACGCTGCTGCACCGTCCCTGCTGATCAGCGTTTGACCGGCAGAGCCGAACGGGGCCAGGACGCTGGGTGTCAACAGCTGGCCTGGGACTTGGGATGGCATTGATGGTGCCTGTTGGTAGGCTGCAGAGACTTGCTCATGTTTTTCATCGAAACTACAAAAAATTACGTGGTGTGTTGGCGTGGCAGTCTAGCTAAAGAAAAGGACATCTAAGCGAATTTACTTTGGGGCTGAGACCAGTTCGGTTGAAATCCAGCTGAAGTTTCTGTCTTGGTTGTGAATGTCAAGGACTCATCGTGTCCTGTGTTTCCCATGTGTTATTGGGAAATCATCTCTTCCCCTTTCTTGCATGTTGTACAAGCTTTGCTCATACCACTGACAAAGGGAAATGAAGAAACCGCTCATCTTCAGAAGCCTTTTCAACCAGACGTGAGAATGTTGTTTTGCACAAAGCACTGTCTCTTCAGGTTAATTAATTTGTTGTAGCATCTTTGTCTTTATATATATAATTGACCATTTATGCATTTAAACTGATGTTCTCTAACTCTGCATCTAAGTGATTTTGCATTTAATTTATGGGGGGGAAAGCTGACCAGAGGAGGGAGAAGGTGCTTAGGGGAACTGGCTAATTATCTGGGTGTTGGTACTTGTGCTGCTTGAAGGAGAGCAGGGTTTTGGCTGAGTGTGGTTTGCGCAAGTTGAAAGTTGGTAGTCCTTGCTTGATAGATGCTATTAAGTCTTGTGTGAACTTGCTTATCCCTTGCATATACCTGGTCTAGACTAAAACCAAGAGCAGCCGCATTTTTTTGGATCCCTTTACTGAAGATGGGGTATTTAAAATACTGTTGTTCGAGATGGTAAAATTGGGGGCAACGATTTCTCCCTTTCAGGGCTGCTCTTTGGTTGCAGGGAGTTTACTGCAAAGCTGAGCACATTATTCAAACTGCGCCAGCAACACACTGGTTAAAAACAGCATGGCTACAAACTGAGGATCTTAATTTCTAATAAGCGTTTTCGCAGTGGTGCCTGAAGCAAAGTGTTGGGCTTCAGTGCAATTCACGTGGCTCGTATGAGCACAGCAGTTGTCTGCAAATGCCTGCTCCCGGGGATTTTTTCCTATTTTTATAACTTGCCTTTTGCTCTGAAGATTGTTTTTAATCAAAATAGCCATCCTCCGTCATATAAGAAAGGTATGTGAAACTGCTGAGCTCAGCTGAATTCTTGAGGTTGCTCTCCAGAGTTGTGGAGGAAGCAGGTTTTTCCAAGAGCTTTTTTCCCTACTTTGAACTCCAGCCTAAGGAAGGATTGGTTTATTTCTTGAGGGGAACAAAATACGAACAAGTGAGCACAGTGAATTTCTGACTGTTATTTCTCCATCTGCCGTCTGTAACGAGGGAGGAGGGCCGGTGCTGATGCAGCTTCTCATGCCGTCCTTCCGTTATTGCGGTGGTGGTACTTCTTGTTCCCGTTCCTGTCCGCCAGCTGGTGTCTGCAGGGGGAATATCTTCGGCACATCGTAACTGCATTTCAAAACCCATTTGCCTGTTGACCTGGTTACTGGAACAGCCTGTAGGGCCTGATGATTATTTCTTTTTTCATTTTATGTTTTATGGGATTTGCCTACGGAGAAGTTAATGATTGCTAATTCTCTTTAGGAACACTAAAAGACCACCAGACTTCTGCTTTGGAGATGTATTGAGTCAGTAGAGAGGAGGATGAGACTGGAACAGCAGACAGTATTTCTCAATGCATAGATATGTCTCAATGCACAGACTCAAGTTTCTGGTGTTTTTTGGAGGGCTTGTGAATAATGAATCTGGCTTGCTGTAACTGCAGATCAACGGAGAGGATGCTGATGTGACTCAGGGCACCTCTGTGGGATGTCCTGGAGGGGGAACAGGGGTGACGTTCATCAGGACAGACGTCTCCCTTGAATTCAAGGTTTCTAGAGCCAAGGACGATCCATCTTTGTTATTTTTTCCTCCCAGTGAATGCCTGTTCTAAGGATTTGGGTCTTTTCATGCAGCCCAATTAACTTGTGGCTCTCCCTGAGCCGTTTTCATCTGGCTGCCTGTGGGATGAAAGCTGCTGCCGTGCTTCTGATGCCTTGTCACAGCAGCTGATAACAGGTGGCTGCTCTTGGAAAGCTCTTATCCGCTCCCCTGCCCAGTAAAACTCTCCTTAAATAACCTTACAGCTGTATTCAGCTGTAGCTGTTACCTCTTTGTGGGTGCAAATAGTGTGGTGGAGGGGAGCCAGCGTGGTTCTGTTCAGCTCGTTACCCTTCAGTGCTTTTGGAGAGTATTTAGTTTACTTAACTGTGGAAATGTCACCTTGTTCCTATCCCATGGCTAAAAAAACACCGTTTCAAATACATGCATTTGAAGCTGTTGTGGTTCTCGGCAGCCCTGAAAGCAAATTTGGTTTAGAAAAGACACTGATGTTCAAGCCACAGAGAAATATTCAGTGGGAGTATCTGGATTTTTAGACTGTCTTGTTTCTAGATGAGCAGCTGTGCAAAGCCGCTTGGGCTTTTGAAGGGGTTTTTGCCTTTGCGGTCGCCTGAAGACGTGCTCCAGTACAGAGCTTGCAACGTGTCCCCTTCTGCTGTCGGCACCAAAGCGAGATAGGAAACAACGAGCTGCTTGCCTGTCTGTCACTGCTGTTACTTAGTCCTGTAGTTATCCTCATAAGCAGCAGCTTCCAGCTCCTCTCTCCAGCCTGGGTTAAGTGTCCCACCGTTGCAGGATATGCTGTGGCCATAATTACAGGTGATGGACAGGAAATAGTTTTTAAAGACCTCTGAACATTTACTTCCTAAGGCCCAACTCTTAAAATGCTTGAAAAGGAGAAGGGGGAAACACTCCTCTTCTGGAGAGAGAAATGGGTTAAAAATGGTAAAATTGTGGTAAGTTTTGAGGCAGGCCAACCAAAAGAGGCCAGTTCTGGTGGGGAGGAGGGCAGGGCTTGGACGATGGCCTGTTTGCAGCGTGATCCCCTTTGCAGCCTCCCCTCAGGCTTGCCAAGGCTTCGAAAGCAAATGCTGCGTGCCATGATCACCTGGGACCAGGTAGCTTCCCAAAACCGGCCTTGGGTGGGCACTTGGTGATAGCACTGACTGTGGGAATGAAAGGAGGGAGAGTGCTGCCGGAGGAGATGCTGAGGCTGGCCGTGACCTTCACAAACATCTCTAAAATGCCCTACCAAGATGTCTCTCCTGCTGCGGCAAGGGCTGCAAGGGAGGGAGGCCGAGCAGCTCTGACCCCTTTGAAGGGCATGCTCCTGGTTTTCATGGGTTGGTCTGTTGCTGTAGCCGGCTTGAACGCTGTTAGTGCCTCATCCCCAGCTCAAGCATGCTCCAAACCTGTGTCTCCTGGCAATTTCTGTTATAATTGACTGGAGGGAGGGGAAGTAAAATGGCATTAGCACAAGCTGTTGGCTCCCTGCGTGCGTTCAGCTGCTGGTGGGGTGGTGAGAGGAGCCTGCGTTGCCCACTGGTGCTGCCTGTGTGAGGGTGCAGGACCGCTGGGCTTTGCCCTGGGCATGGGGTATCAAGCACAGCAGCCCTGATGCCCAGCAGCTGTTTTACAGTACATCCCACCACTTGTTCCCGTGATAGCAGAGCGCGCCCTGGGCATGTTTATCCCTGCAGCGTGCTGGCGATGAAGGAGGTGCTGTTCCCGCTGTAGGGATGGGAAGCGCAAGCTCAGGGTGGTGTAATTTCTGCTGCAGAGCAGGGAAATGACCCAGAAGACACACAATGCATTGTTTATGCTCTGTTAACCAGAAGTCCCTGATAATATGGCATTCGGAAGCCCATCTCACCCTTCCTGCTGTGGCTTGTGCCATTCCTGCGCTTTCCATCGCTCACAGTCCCCTCTCTTCCCACGGACCCCAACGGTGAGAGACCAGGGGTCCCCAGTGGCCTGGTGGGAACTGGGGCAGAGGGTGCAACCACTGGAGCAAACACGGTGTATTCTGTCACCTATGATTGCTGTTGACTCCATCGTGTAGTCAAAGGTCAAACCCAAATGTGTTTAGACACCTAGATGGTGTGGGTTTCAGGAGTCAGGTAATGATGACACCATGGGTTGGTTTTGGTGGAGCTGCAGAAGATCTTGTCCCCAGTACATGTGTTACCAGCAGGAGGAGTTGAAATGTCGCTGTCGCTGAAGTGCCACCTGCAGACCAATGGCACGTGCAATTAGTGCCACCAACAAATGAAGTGAGGTCTTACTCAGATAAGGTTAGGAAGCAGTAAGCAAGCCAGGCTTTCAAACTGGCCAAAGTTGGGCTTTGCTGTGGCTTAGAGTGGCTCTGCCCTGGAAAAATGTGAACTCCTCGCATGGGTTATTGGCTTTCTAAGAGTCTTCTCGCATCCCAGGCTTTGGGACTGGGAGAGTAAGTGAAGTTTTACGGGGTCAAGCAGAAACAAAATGAAGGTACTTGCTCCTTCTGGAAGGCCGGAGCAGCTCCGAGGAGCTGCTGCAGGCTCTCAGATATGAGTGCTGGGGGTTGGAGGCTCAGTGACCGTGCGGTGGAGATAACACCAGGACCTGCAGCTTGTCGGCTGATCCAGCTGCGGCCGAGTCCATCAGCTCCCCGTGGCAGCAGGCGTTGCCCTGCAAAGGAGAGGGTGGCATGTGCGGCATTTCCCAAGCCTGTCGGGCTGTGCCACGTTTGCTTACATGCGGCTTTATAAAGCAGAGGTGCAGCAGCTCTCTCTGCTCCTTCCTGGGGTTTGGTCCAGCCTCTCCCCCTAACCTTTGCTATGGCTGGCCTGAATGTCTCCATTGCCTTTTTTTTCCTGGTTTTCGGGGTGTGCCAGGTGCTCAGGTGGCTTTCCAAGAAGCTTCTGTCTCCTGGAGCATATGGCTGCCTTTCCAGAGAATTTGCTGGCTCGTTACAGTTGTGCATGAGCTGCCTTGAGCTGAGGATGCTATTGGAGATCGGCCTGTGGGGTGGTGGCTTTGGCCCAGACGTGGTCCTCACTCTGCTCTTCCTCCTCTTTGCTGTTCATGGTGCCTCTTTTGATGGAGCATCTGCCAACCCGACAGTCTCTCTCCAGGAGTTCCTGCTCCTCGACTGCAACCTTGCTGCAACTGCTGCCAAGCTCCTGGCCCAGGGTGCAGGCATGGGGACAGGCTGGGCTGTCACCAAGCTCTACTGGTCCTGGGAGCTGACGCATTTCCACCTCATCCAGAACCTGATAGCGTCGGAGTGCAGCTCCTCCATCCACACCTCTCTGCACCACGCTGCCTTTGTGGAAGGCACCTGCTCTTTCCTTTTCCACCTCGTCCTTCTCAGGTTGCAACAGAGTCACCCTATGTACCGGGTCCCTGCGCTGGCAGCGACTGTCACCTTCCTGACCTACACAGGTGAGCAATACTTGCTTTTCTTTTTCTAAGTCATTCAGAAAACTACCTAACTCGTGGGGGAAGAGTGGTCTCTTTTTCATCTTTCAGGACTTGAGAGGTAACAATTACTAAGATGCTTGTTTTCTGCTCCCTGGGGGGGGGGATGCTCCCTGGGGGAAGAAGACTGCAGTAGGTGAAATGTCAGCACATGAGAAGCCACAGCTTGCCCCAAGACTGGGAGCACTTTGCTTGAGCATCCCCTAACACAACCCCTCGGTCTGAGTTCTTCTGCTTCTCACAAAGCTCAGGGTGACAAGGGTGGGATTTCCCCGTGTGCTGCTATTGCACAGTCAGAGAGATGCGGCTGCCAGAGCCGGGCAGCAGCAGGGATGTTCCTGGCAGGCAGGAGGGGTCATGGGTCTCCTGGCCCAGATCTTCACATCCTTTGAAAGGCCGACAAGCGAGACTGAAGGCCATGCTTCTCTCCCCACACAGCCGGACCGTTCACGGGGGCCTTCTTCAACCCTGCCCTGGCCACAGCCACCACCTTCCACCGCTCCGGGGCGAGCCCTTGGACTACGTCCAGGTTTACTGGCTGGGGCCCCTTGCAGGTGAGATCTGCCTGGGAGGTACCAGGGGACAGGGGTTGGCAGGGGAGGCAGTGGGCAAGGCAGAAATGCTGGGTGTAACACAAACCGTTCCTGGCAAAGGGCTGAACTTGGGTCTTGCCAGTGGCAAGCGTCCTTTTCTGTCCCCTTTCCCTGTCACTCGAGTCGTCCCTTTGCTATCCAATTTTTAAAATCCAATTTCTAGATGGGACACAGGCAAAAACTCTGCCTGAGGCCAGAGTTTCGGGGAGATGAAGAAAAGATGTTTTAGGGCAATGAGGGCTGAGCTAGGCTGTTGAGGTTGTCCACAGCTTCAGGATGACCATGGGGAGCTGGATACATGCTGCCTAGGATGCAGGGAGCAGCGACAGAAGACCGCTGGTGTGGTTTATGGCCCTATTGGGTCAAAACAAGCCTCGTTATTATATTAAGGACACAATGGTTAAATTCTGCTTACAGTAACATAGTAAGGGTCTTTTAGATACTGTCAGAGGTGACTTCAGTGGTGCTGAGCTACATTTTGGTTATCATGAAGGTTGTGCCAAGGGCATGAAAATCACTGCTCAGCCGTGGAGATGCTCGATACAGCACACGGAAGGGCTCCGTGCTCTCGTTTCAGGGATGCTCGCTGCCCTCCTGCTGTACCAAGGCAACATCCCACGACTCTTCCAGAAAAACCTCCTTTACAGACAGAAGAACAAATACAAGATACCCAAGGCAAGGGCGGCGGCACACGTGGAGGGTGACGAACCACAGCGGAAGAGGAAAGGGGAGACGAGCAACTCCAAGCCTCGTGTCTGAGCCGCAGACAGGGGCTGAGGAGGTTCCTGCAGCCCCTCTCCTAGGAGCGGCTTTCCCAGCACAGAGGATTTTGCTGCTCGTCCTGTCCAGCATCCGTCCTGCCCATTTGGTCCCTACGGCAGGGTGAGATTTTTTTTTTTTTAAAGCCTCGCAAAGAATCGGCCAAGCTGGCCTTGCAGGATGTCTGAATCCCTGAGCTCCTTTGGGAATAGCTTTGAAAGTCTCCCTGGAGAGCCTGAAATGTTTCAAGCCTGCATCGCTAGCTCAGTGGGGAAAAAAAAACCTAATACTTTTGCATAAATTGCTGGTTATCTTGTATTGCCAGAAAGCTTACAGAAAGTCAGGACCATTACGTGGGTAGGTTTGAGCAGCTCCCAGGTTATTGCATCGTGCAACACTTGAACTAATCTGACTGGATCTCTTGCAGCCATAAAACCAAAGCATAAACCAGTAACCGCCTTGGGACGAGGAGGAAGCAGGCTTTGATCTTTCAAGTTACTAAATGGATATTGGTTAAAAATTGGTGGTGTTTGAGTTAAATTGAGGTCCTTGAATTGCACAGGCTGAACCTGGCTGTTGTAGAGGAGTTAAAAATGCTGCAGGGCAAGGGAGTTCACTGGCCACAGGAAACCCTGCTCTTCTGCAGACGTGGTGCTTAGCCTGGGTTTCGTGTGCCGTAAGGCATCAAGAGATGGTGCACGAAGTGTTCTCTGGTTAAAAAATGAGACTCAGGCAACTGATACGCAGCCGGTGTGGGTGAGCATGTGCATCCCCGGGCTCCTCGCCGTGTCTCTGTGAAATATTCCTAAAGATAAAGTTAGGGTTTGTGGAAATAATAATAAAAATAAATGTTGTGACTGGCATTTAGGTGAGTGATGTCATTCCTGTGAGCTCTGTGGGGGGAGATCAGCCTGTCTGATCCCTGAAAATGGGAGATGCCATGGACTTATCCAAACCCACTCTGCCCCTTCTGCTGCTTGCTCTGGAACGGGAGTAATTTGGTGGAAGCACCTGCTTAAGTAAATGGGGCTCCCCCCAGGTAAAGCCAGGGCACCCCATGGGTGCTGCACCCTGGGGGTCTCTCCACAGGGAAGAGCAGGGGCTGGGGCAATCCCACGTGCAGCATCCCTGGAGCAGGGCTGCAGGGCATGGCTGGATGCTGAGCTGCTGCCCAGAGGTCTCACCTGTCCCTGCCAAAAACAGCTAGTTCCTGAGTTTTGCAGAAAATAGTCAACTTTGCAGGAACTCTCTGGACAGAAAATTCCGGAACTGAATGTATTCTTGTTGCACTACAGCTTTTCAGAGCAATCACAGGGCGCGTGCTCCGGGGCAGGCTGTGCTTCTCAGGCAATGCTCTGGTTGTACGAGTGCCTCTGCCCTGGGTCACCTTGGCAGGAGCTGGAGCAGGGGTGATCTGCTTACCGAGTTCCAAACGGTGAATAAGGAAGCGGCACCTGATTAAAATCCAGAGTGAACCGAGAGCCCAGGAAGGCGTCAGATGCAAGGTTTGGTACCCAGGCACACGGTGCCCCCAGCCCTGCTCCTCCCTGCACCCCTGCTATGTCCCCTGTGGGTTTGGGGGGCCCGCCCTGGCTACGCTGCCCGTCGGCTGCCCATCTGCCTTCGTCGCCTGTGGGATTGCCCTCAGGGGTGAACTGGAGACTGCCCAGGAGCCCAGAGGGGAGCTGGACCTCTGCAAACCACGAGACCATGCCACGTCCCAACAGGAAAATAAAGAGGGAAGGAACCAACGCAGCGATACGTGAACAGGCCTCAGAGATGAAACTTTATGGAATAAACAACGCCCCCAAAACAGTGCAGCAAACAATTCAAAAACGATGGCCCCATATCATGCCTGGCTGGATGCTTGGTGCTGCCCGGTCCCTCGTGGGGAAGGGCGGTGGGAACGCAGTCTGGTTTTTATCCCGGCTAGACTGTGAGCAGGAGACGGGGCACCTTCAGATGGGAACCAAAACCTTTGAGGCTTCTCACGGCTGGCCAAGGCCGAGCCTAGGATGCTCAGATCCCCCCAACAATTTTTTTTTAACCTCTTTTGGTTTGGAAATTGTGCTGAAAATCCTGAGCTGGGCATCTGTTTATCTAAACTGATTTGCTGGCTCTGCTTTTGATTTGAGTTTAAGTGTAGGATGTGAAAAGTGAGGTTGGCTAGCCCACTGCAACCCATTTTTGCGGTATTTTTCCCCAGGCAGAGCGCAGAATATTCCTACAGCCGCTCCAAGTGGTGGGTCAGGATGTCTGGCTGCTCATGAGACATCTCCCAGACTCATGGATATTTAACTTGCAGTCTGACACCACGGTGTCAGCATCAGCTCCAGGGTAGGATGCTGATCCTGTAAATGCAGTGTATGAGTGCGGCATCTGAAGGCAGTCTGTAACCACACAGTCAGGGAAAAAAAATACTGATTTCTTTTTTTTCTTTTACTCTTCCCCCCCCTCCCCCCCAAAACATTTTCAAATGTTTGAGGTCTGTTTCTTGGGCTGCTGGGGTGATCATCTGCTGGGCAGACTGATGTAATTAAGGGGAACTTAATAGGAGCAACAGTGAATATTGTTATTTTTAATTAAGGGGCTGCTTTTCCAGCACAGTAGCATTCAGGCATAGTGGAGGAGAGCCACAGCTAGACGGACAGACTTGTTCCCAAACTGTAAATCAAGCTCTGCAGCTCTGATTTACAGCTTGGCCCTGCGCTGTTGCGGTCTCTGGCACGGGGCTGAGGGCTTGGGCTGCCCTCCTGGTTCTGCTCCTCGCTGCTGGAGTTGGTGCTATGCAGCCCAAAGCCTCGGATCGCCTCCTCCAAGGCTTCAGCTTCCAGTCAGGAGTTTTGCCCCATTTGCTGAGGACCTGCACTTGAAGAGTCGTGTTGTGTCGAGCCCCTGGGACCTCCCGTTGCAGCCCGTCCTGCTCCGCAGTAACGCAGCGTGTAGCACCTAAGAGCTTGTGCCCAGTCCTGCACAGAGAGAGGGGCAGCCGGGGGCTCTTGAGGGCGGCAGGTTCCCAAGCCTGCCTGCCCACCCGGGGCAGAAGCAGCCCCCGAGCCCGGGAGGCGAGCCCCTCGCTGTCCTCAGCAAAGGCAGCTGGAGAACGGTGCCTGGAGGGTACCACGAGGCTCAGTTTTGGGTGCCTTCCAGCCTGTGCCGCAGGGCATTGCCCTGTCGAGGGTGAGTGGGCTGGGGGGGCTTCTGAGGAAACTGCTTCTTGTAGAGAGCGCTGCTGTACTGCAGCTCCGGGGTCACCAGCCGCCGGCACATGTGCTCCGTCTCCTTATCCAAGCCCTGCTTGAGGTTGTAGCCCAAGATCTTTGCACTGCCGTGCTGCAGTGGCTTCAGGGAAGAGTCCTTGATGTCCTTCGGGGCCACGCTGCCCATGCCTTGCAGGCAGGGGCTCGCCAGCTCTGCCCGCCTCTCCCGAAGTGCCTTTACTTCCCGCTGCATGCGCTCCCTGCCGATGTCGCGGTCGATCCTTTGCCAGAAGGTCCTGTTGAAGTAGATGTAAATTTCCCAGTCCAACCTGTTCCAGTCCTTTATCTTCTCCATGATGGTGTCTGAGAGGGGGTACTTGGTGCTGCTGTCCCTGATGTTGAGTGGGAAGGAGACGATACTGTCCAGGTCCCAGCACAGCATCTCCTTCAGCAGCACCATGGACTCATCGAAGTACTCGGAGATGAGGAGCAAATCGAAGGATGCCTCGATGGCCTTCAGCATGAGTTGCACCCGCTTGGCTGAGACCTGTCCGTTGGGGTTGAAGCCAAAGTCAAAGGCCATGAGGTTCCTGGCATAGTGGCTGTCGTGGTGTGTGGAGTTGTAGTAGTGGTAGGGCTGGCTGAGGAACTCCTCCAGGCTGCGGGCACGGGAGAAAGCTGACGCGCCCTTGTAGTATGCGAAGGAGGACTCCATGAGCTGCACGGGGTTCCTCAGGATGGAGAAGTAGACAGCTGAGGTGGACACCACTTTCTCTACCTGCGGAGGAGAATAAGGAGGTTTCAAAAGTGGGGTAGGGAGATGAGACCTGCTCACTAGTAATGCTGTGCTCAGCTGGAAAGCAGAAACGCTTGCTGGTGTTGGAGGTGGTGGGTGCTGGAGAGGGTTTGAGGGTGCAGGTCATCAGAGGAGCATTTGTGTCAGTTGTAGGGAGCTCCAGAAGAGGTACATGGGAGAGCAGTGACCAAAGCTCCCTGCTACATGCTGCCACAGCTGGGTGGCCTGTCCGGGCTTGAGAGATGTCCTATCTCCTTGCTGTTCCCCAGCTGTGCATGTCCTCAAGTGACATCCAGAAGGGTGGATTCTGGGCCTGGCTGACCTGAGCTGATGTGCTTAAGGCATTCTGCTCTTGCAGCTAGTACCCTCTGGGCCTGTCCAAGGAGCAAAGCATCTCCAAGAGCCAACCAGAGAAGAACAAGATGATAGTTACTGACTGCTACAGACTCTGTCCCCTGACTTGTCTCAGGTCACAGCACAGTGATTCATCAAACCTGTTACAGAAGCTCTCAGGAGATGCCCATGACATGCAAGGTACCTGGGGACAATCCCGTCTCTCTTTAGCTTCATCCCTGAAAAGTTTATGTGCTCTATGGGTGCCCCACCTTGTTCCCCACGAGACCCCCTCTCCCTCCCATGTTCATCCCTCCCAAGGCATCGCGGCTTTGCCTGTACCTCCGGCTGCAGGAATCGCATGTGGTGGCAGAGGATGTTGAACCGCTGAGGGCTCCTGGGGGAGAAGCCCTGCACGAACCTCGCCAAGAAGGGGTGCGGGTAGAAGAGCTGGTTGCCACCCCCGATGGGGAAGGCAAAGGTGAGGTTGTGCGTCTCACCAAAGCGGAAGAGGATGTTCATGACGGTGCTGCTGGCGCTCTTGTGGACTTTGAGGAAAACAATGTCAGTCTTGGGCTCACACGTCTCCCTTTGAGAGGAGACCCCTCTGGCCTGCTGGCCTTCTCCAAGAGTCACCTTGTCACTCTTAGAGACTTCTGTCCAGCTCGGGAAAAATCTTCTCTCTAAGTTTGCCTTGTAAAAGCCCTCTGCTTGTGGAGGTGGAGCTGAATTTGGCAAGGAATGTCTAAGCAAGCTGCCCCACTGATGGTGGGGAGGACCCGTGTCTTGAGGCTGAGACTGGCTCTGTGCCACCACCTGCCTTGTTCCTGGTGGTGATGTTCTCCTGTGCTCCTCTGCAGTCATCCTGTTTGCAAAGATTATGAACTTGGTGGTGACAGCATTAGCATCTCCCAAAACTGCAGAGATCCTCTTAGGAAGACTTAGGTAAGGACCCTCTCTGGTTGCTTTACTCGGGCCAGGAAGCTGGGATTTCAGCCTTGTGGATGAAGGATGGGCTTTCATCTGCTTGCTGCTCTCCTCCACAGGCTGCCACACCCGGTGCTCCTCTTGGCTGCCTGGGCTGCTTTCCAGCGGGGTCTCCTGACTGAAGTACAGGTGCGTCTGAAAAACGTCCTGCATGCTCTCTGTCGAAGTGGAGTCCGGCATGGCTTTCCTCTGCCACTGCAGGGGATTGTCCTCCAACAGCGGGTCGGGGGTCTGAAGGGCATAGCTCAGCCTCTTCTGGCCATGGCCTGTGGTCTGCTGCAGGGCACGCTCCAGCTCACATTGGCAGTTTCTGTAACACGGGGGACGTGAAGCTCAGCGGCAAACATGCAGAGGATGGAAGGAGCATGCAAAGAGGGCAACTCCTCTCCAGCTTAATGAACCCCCCCTGCAGACTCCCCAAAGCACGTTCCCCTGTCTTTGTTGGGGTGGGTGGCATTGCTAGTGGTTGTAGGACCTGGGAGGTCAGGGTGCGTGCGAGAAGAGAAGGATGTGTCAGCAGGGGCGTGCTAATGCCCCTGTCCCCCTGGAGCACCGTGGGCTGGTCAAAAGGGGCAAAGCAAGAGAAGGCAAGGAGAAAGAAGAGCAGGTGACCTGGAGAAGCTGGAGGAAACTTTGCAAATGACCCCAGATTGGGAGGCCTGGGAGGATGGTCAGGGGCTGTAGGGTTTTGAGGCCAGCCAGAACAAAGCCCGGAGCAGCCTGGTCTGAACCCAGAGTGGGGTCAGCTTTGGTCAGGGCATAGGGGTTGGATGCGAGACCCCCACAGAGGTCCTCTCTCACCTGGACTTTCCTACATATCTAAAGAAGACACTGCTGGGTGGTTTTCACGAGTGCGGTTTTGAGCCCACCTCAGTGGTCAGTGAAAGGCTGGAGCATGAGGTGCAGGTCTGCAGTCCTGCTTGAGACCTACCTGGAAGGCTGCAGCTTCTCCACGACTTGAAGCGTGACCAATAGGAGGACGAGGAGGCTGAAGAAGACCCAGAGCCGACCTGGCTGGCACCTGTATATCGCTTTCAATTTCCTGCAAGGAAACAGATATTTCAGACCATTAGTAGGTAGAAGAAATGTGTGTATGAGCCAGAGGGGAAAGAGCCTTGGGACTTCTTTAAATTTTACATATATGTATTTTTTTTTTTTTTTTTTGGGGAAGGTCCTCACATTTTCACAGGTAGAAGAGGTGCAGAGCCAGCGATAACCAATGAACTTCAGAGGCTGTGCACAAGCAGTGTAGCCTAGTGGAAATTTCCAGCCACGACACAAATATCGCACC